TGTCTTTGGCTGGTTTATACTCTTGACATTTTGGTGTCCTACAAATTCGATAGCTCATTGCGAATTCTTCTCTTACTGGCTGTTGGAATATCAGCAAGTCAAGTCTCATCAAGTCAATCTTTTTTGTTTCTGTGGTCGTTCAATACTTGGGCATGTCTCACTAGAGGCATTGCTTTTAGTTCAACCTGCGATCACTGCTGTTGATTGTGCAAGTTATAAGGTCCTTTAGCGAGGTACTTGTAACTAAGATAGTAGAAATCAAGCCTGCTTTATGTATTAAGTCTTTGTCCAAATACACTGCGTGCTTTTCACCGTTTAGAGCTTTCCAATTCTCTGCGAAACATGTCTTGGTCCCAGTCCCTTTGTTCGCATGATGCGCGAACAGTATGGAAAGGAGTGCAAAATATGTTCTCGTCCATTTACCGTATTTCGATGGAGCCCTGGTCCCAAGGCTCGCTTCAAAAAGACGGAAATCTGTCAAACGTGCGCTAAGGTGAAGAACGTCTGCCAAACCTGTATTTTTGATCTGGAGTACGGTCTTCCTGTTGAGGTTCGAGATAAGGCTCTCCGACTAAATCAACAACTCCCTCGAAGTGATGTAAACCGGGAGTATTTCCATCAGCAAATTGAACAGCAGCTGGAGGCTTCGGGAGACGTTACGGCCCCTTATGGAGGTCACGAATTCATTGGGAAAGCAATTGTTAGCTCCAACGCCTCGACAGGGACTGCTAGTTCTGATCTTCTTTTAAAACTCGCCCGTACTACACCTTACTATCGGCGCAATCGCCCGCATATTTGTTCATTTTGGGTGAAGGGCGAATGCCGCCGGGGTGAGGAGTGCCCATATCGACATGAAAAACCAACTGACCCTGATGATCCTCTCTCGGACCAGAATCTTCGTGACCGTTATTATGGCAACGATGATCCTGTTGCTGCGAAACTGCTCTCGAAATACCGCGCAATGCCGAAGTTAACGCCACCAGAAGACTGTACCATCACTACGATATATATTGGTGGTGTGCCAGCAGACATAACGGAGAAGGATCTTCGCGATCATTTCTATCAATTTGGAGAGCTGCGATCAGTCAGTGTTCACTATAAACAACACTGTGCTTTCTTACAATTCACCACTCGTGAGGCCGCCGAGCGTGCTGCTGAACGGAGCTACGATCGTCTGATTTTGCGAGGCCATCGTTTGACTGTGAATTGGGGAAAATCACCAGCTGCCTTGGCGGCTGCAAGCGCTGGTATAAGTGTGACTGGAGTAATGGATGTAGCGCCCTTACCTCCAGTTCCGGGCTTACCTTTGCCACCAGTGCCACCACCACCATCGTTGCTCTCTTCGGTTTCTGTGTCCTCTGTTTGTCCTATGCCCACGATTCCAGGTCCGAGCGGAGCTTTCTTTTCTGCTCCCCCACCTCCTCCTCTGCCCATGCCCGTGGTTCAACTTGCGCCCCCTGTTGTCGACCCTAATGGTATGTTTTGTTATCCTCCTTAGAGAGCAAAAATTTTTTTCACTAACATTTCCCGCCTTTTTTTACTAGCTTTCATGGCAGGGCAAAGAGGACCCTTGCCACCTCCACTACTGTCGGCGCCACCGCCTCCACCGCCACCGCCTCCAGCAGTGCAAAGAGAAGAGGGAGAGATGGGGAAGGTGGAAAAAGAAGCAACAGCGGAGAAGGGGGAGGAGAGACCGGTGTTGTTGGATCAACCGCCATCTTTGCCACAGTCACCACAGCCAGCTGTGGCTCAGGATTTGCCCTCACTGGGAATCCATTATCCCAGTCAGAACCCACAGCGAATGGGAAGTGTGCCCCAGTCACAGAGACATATTTAGTAGAACTGTTTTGCTTTATGTGTTTACATCTGGTCACTCTCTTTTCCAGCATTAGAATGTAAAGAAACAGTGCTTGAAATTTTGTATGGGATCGGTCTCATATTTGGGATTTTGTCCCCTCTGATGAGAGTCGACGTTAAGGCGGTAGGGGTTCATCGTGCGATTGGAGGTGGTCGGGATTTTGCTTCCACCTTGAAGGTGGGAATGTGGACTTCGTAGGGATTGGGTTTTGTCGGGTAGAGGCGTCGTTTGTATTAATGGCCTTTCTAGTTGTGCTTTTGGGTCAGTATCCCTAGCGGACTTGGGGTTTGGGTTTCCCGAGGAATACCTCGGTTACTTTGCTCCGTCATAGCATTAAATGTGGTTGCTGATGGGGTCCTGTTGTGTCATTTACAATTGCGGAGTATTTTGGACCTGTCTTGGTTCCTGATTTAATATATGGTGTGAACGATTAACTGAAATATGTCAGTATTTAACGGGAGTGGAGGCATTGTTAACACCTGCGAAAGTATTTTATTGGGTGAGGTTTAAACCAACCTTTACTTTTATATCGGCCAGAAGATTGGTCCTTGCCTGGTTGGTGAGGCTAAAGAGTGAAGCTTTAAGTCCGACTAGAACATGAAGTCTCTTGCTAATCGCTTTTCCCACGATTTCATTGAAAGATCTTTAATCTTCCTCAATTCCACCAAGGTAGGCTTGTCAGCTAAGTGGTTTTAGTGTACACCCCTTGGTGGTTTTGTGATTGGATCATTGAGTGATGGGATAAAGGCAGTATGGCTTGGGACATTGACTTGATCTTTCAGAAGGTATATAGAAAATTAATGTTGTGAACTTCTCTCCACCGTCCTTATTCATTTTCCACCATTCCATTCGTCTTACTCTTACCCACGCAACATCTTGACGCACCCTCATTTTCCTCCGGAATGTGCCAATTGCTCAGACCACCACCATTTCCGTTCTCGCTATCGTTGGTGTCAAAGCAATGGTTGTTTTTCTTGTAATTCTGGCGATGACAACTTCGCTTCATGAATCCAAACATGCAACCTACCACCTCCATAAAAGAGGACGCATTCGCCACATTCTTTGTTTCACCCTATTTGATAAGATTACATCTCTGAGGCATTTTGCAAGGGATTGTTCGTCGTCTTTGATGGATGGTTAGGCAGGCGTTCCCAGAATTCGATCATGGGACGCTTGCACAGACATGTGATCGGCCCATCTCAATGCTCGTGCAGGTCCGTTCAAGTTAACAGACAGTAGAAATAATCGTTTCGTGTATTCGCTTTATAACACGAATAGCCTGACATGCGCAACCGGTAAGTCGTCCACACGGGAGATTCGAGACATCCAAAGAGCAAGGTACATTTTCGTTTCGTTCCTCGTGCAATGTGCCACCTCCCAGCGTCCTCTTTCATTCAATGTCAAAGTCCACCTGTAACCAACGCCTTGGCACTCCCAAGGAATGGAGAGCCTCCTCTGTCGATGTCGCAAGTCCGCATGGCGATTGTAATACAGAAGTCCTTGAACGCACACAGTTTTCACGCCCCATTTTTCGTCGCATTTTGAGGCAATATCTGAGGACATTTCTGTTATTTTTGCTTCCGTCATTACATTAGTATGTTCCACAGCTAAAGAGCCACAAAATATTGATGATAATTTTGGACGCCCCAAGGGATTTAAAACTTGAACAATTGGTATATTATTGAAGATATCATTAAAAAG